ATATAGTAATATACATGAAATCACTCTTATTTAGAATTTATTGGGAAATAAATCTCAGAATAAAATTTTGTATTTCTTTTCTGTGAGTAACTAGTGCTTGTTTATTTTTTCAAAATTAACAAAACATTCGGTAACCACAACTTCCTCATCGAGATAAATTAATAGAAAAACTTACAAGGAAAGATCGTGTATTGTTTCAATGCACTGCAGCATAAATGGTTGTTACACAGCAAACGAGGGATTCGCGTGTTCACAGAATATTCTGAGTTGGGTTACAACCAAACCTATTATCCCTTTTTAAGGCGATAAACGACTAGGCGTGACTGCAAATTTCATACGACAAACCTCTTGCACTTTTAATACAGTTTTAGTGATGTATATTTTAATTTTAATTACATATTTTGTAAAAAAAAGCGCCATATTATTACGTCATGGTCATAGTGATAAATGTTAAAAGACCGTAACTTTATAATAATTAAAAAAAATCGATTTTTAAGAAAAAAATCGGGTGGTTAAATTGTGAAATAACGGTTTAGAAATGCCTAAATCGCTTAAGGGCAATGAAATTTAAATAATTTCCTTCAGTAAAATATTCATTGTCTTATCCCCTTTAGAAAAATCACAAAAAAGGGCTAATAAATACAATGAATAAAATCTCATTCATTAATTTTCATTTGCTTAGATTTACGAGATTGGGCGGAGGTTTCGAAACGTACCAACGTTTGTAATTATAACTACGTCTTTTTAACCTTTAAAACTAATCCACAAGCGTCTTTTAAACTTTTAAATAGTAGATAAAAGTCGCTGAATTCGTATCACAGTATTATCTTTTGTGCAATATTTACAATCTAAATCCTATGAGACGCGTGCTGTTTTCTGCAACATATCACATGCAATTCTATTGTTCTGTTTCACTGACTGTACCTTAATTATCATAGATAGACGTAGCAACTTATGTTATTCCTAAAGCTCTGATTCATGTCACAGAAAACATTATTGATGCGTTAGAATGGGCGCATAACTTAAACTAATCTATCACACAACTATTGTGCGATTTAACGATTTAGTTGCATAACTAAAAATCGAGTAATATACTCCATATAAGATCACAGGTATCAAAGCGAGACTAAACGGTTGTGCGATATTTTAGTTTCGGGTATGTGCACGCTCAAAATGTTTAAACAAGTTATATTGTCACTTCTATAATATTAAGTTAGATTTAAATTATTTCACTTTCGGTACTTAAACTATATACATTGTAGGTAAAAATATTGGCAACATCGATAAAATAACGTTGTGTTTTCTATTCATTGTTTGTAGACAATTCTGATCGAAAACTGGTCGCGGTTAAAGCGTGCGGAGTTGGGATTGAATACTGATGGCGTCAAACTCGCTGGCTCCTGCACTCTATGCATAAGCAATGTATCGCAATATCCTTGCCTTGCATCGCTCTATCAAACACATATTGCACCAAATATATTTATAATAACTTTCAGTAGTAACAACGCCGGCTAACTTTCGACTCAACTTTTAAAATTTTTTTTTATGTGATAAAGTAGCAATCACAAATGAGTGGCCTGAATTCACCGAAACTCCGTTGTCTACCCTTAATCGACGGAGTAGGAGACTCACATAAAGTGCATATTTCCCCTTCCTATGAGTCTCCTCCAATTAAATTAAAAGTTTATCTTGACTTCTTTAACAACAAAACTCTTTGCTTCCCTCAACATTAGACAACCGCTTATGATATTTTCGAAAAGGAATTAATCGTAGTAAATCTTGTTAAGCTCTTTTTATTTGTGCAGTTGTCAAACATCTTTCTTCTGTTTATTTCCTTCATTTTTCGAATTTCCATTTTCCATTTTTCGAATTCCTTTGTTGTATTTTCTAGTTTCTTTGCTGTTGTGACTAAAAAAAGTAATGTCTAAGATTCCGTTGACATAAAATGCATTTCCTCAGAGAACGCTCAGATTAACAATAAGCGAATGCGACGAGGACAATGCGGTGCATCCGTCAGTGGCAAATCGTGAATGCCGCCCGTTTGTAATTTGCCTAGGCAATAAAAAGTCGCGGATTAGCAAGCGCCGATGTCAGAATGTTTGCACTGACTTCAGACAAACTTTTATACGTCGTCTAAATATAATCTAACAAGTATTTTTTTCTGTTATACTTGATTTTGTTAAAATGTAACGGATACGTTATCTAGCTTTAAAGGAAAAGGACGTTTAAAGAAGATGTTTCCCTTTCCTATACGTCCACTCCCATGTCAAATTCAATTCGTATGTGCCATCCTTTCCACGTAATAAAATAGCTAGAAGGGGAAAAGGAGTAGTATTTAGATTTCGACGCACATATTTAAGTCATATCATACCATTTACCTAGACAAATTGTAAACTGGCAGTGTTCACGATTTGACAGTAACACATACGGCGCGGGATGTGCCAGCCCGTTGCAAATTCGTTTCGTTAAACAAACGAGCATTTGGCGTGGCTAGGCTCTGTTATGACACAATCACTACGCCAGTTTACTTGCAAATAGATATGAAAGACTTTGAATTAAACATGAAGAAATTTAAATTTTCTTTGATGGTATCCAAAACGGACAACTCTAACCGAATACTACAACGGAAAATGCTCAGTAGACACATCAGATTGTCACTGAGCAACACTTTTAGTGAAGATTTACTATAAAAAATGTATACTAAGGGTCTGCGTAAGAAATATTTAAACAACTCTGGGTGTGACAAATGACTTTAGCTTGATAAGATAGCTTAGATGTAGTTAGACCGTAGTCTGAAAGAACACAAAAGGTACTTTAGTTATTTAAATCTACGCGGACGGAGTCGAGGGCGAAAGCTAGTAATATAATAATTAATACCTGTCGTCTTGTTTGTGAAAATAATATTCATTTATTAATTTGAAGTTTATAAAAAAGTTAGTTAAAAGTAAAACAATGTTGCGTTTGGATAATTTTCACGGAGTGGCTAATAAAAGAAATGTACAGCATGAATATGCAAAAGGGAATTTATAAACAAAACTTTGGACCATTTATTCCGATACACCGCGGCGAAGCCACTGGAAAAAGTTCGGCGGCAACTGGATATCCTAATGCGATTTTAAATCCTTCTTTCTACAACGAGGATACTTTCAATAAAAAAAACAACGTCTCTGGATATTTTATCTGTTAGGAAAAATAAACAAAACAAATGAAATTATTGACTTATAAATTCTAAGCTCGGGAGAAGTGCAAATCATTGTCACTTTTTACTTCGGATAAACTTTCATCGTTATATTATAAGTTACATTATTAACTTTTTAATTGACATACTTCAGTGTTGTAGTTGATTTATTTTTATTACACTAGGTGTTGCTCGCGTCTTCGTCCGCGTGATGTTAAAAAAATGTAAGAAAAACACCCTTTTACTAACTGAAAACGCAGCTTTTTAATGCTGTAAGGCATTTTGAAATAGGAGTGGTAATTTTTTAATTATTTTTATATATACAAAAATTCAAATATTTCCTCTGTTTAATATAATATTAGTATGGACTAAGCTTTATTGTTCCACACTAACTGTATTAACGATAACTGAATCAGTTTCCCTTAGTGTATATAAAAAGAGAAAGCTAAAGGCCTATACTAAGGGATTCCTTTAATAACCATTAATGAGATTCCAATTGAGATACAAAATCCGTTAAAAATATAGTAACATCCTTATTAAAGTCTGGCTAGACGTTAGCATACGTTAAACAGAATGTAGGATGCGGACGGCGCGGTGGGTAGCTGTATTACGCAGATTGGATTGGGAACGAGCTACACCTGTGATGTCATGCTATTGATATTGAGATTACTTCTACCGTATTTGTACGTACGGTATAATAGGTACATTTAAATTCGATTTATAAATTGTTCTATCGACAAGAATCGAGTACTATCTCTGAAAATCGATTTAGTTGAAAACTGTAGAAATTTAAGAACGCAATTTTTTCTTTATTAACACTTTTTCACATTGACAGTTACAATCTTATTAACATTATTAATGCGAAAGTTTGTATGGATGGATTTCTCTAGAAGGTATAACTTAAACGGCTAAACAGATAGTCTTTATCTAATGTTATAAAAAGAAAAAAAAATGTAATTTTGTATGTATTGGAAAAACTCAAAAACTACTAGGACGATTTCAAAAATTCTTTTACTATTAAAAAGCTACCTTATCAGTAAGTAACATAGGCTACATTTTTATTCACGCGGGCGATGTCGCGAGGAACAACTCGAGAGAAAATTTTGGTATAGATATAGAACAAAATCTAGAAGAACACAGAACCTACTAATTAAGTTTTAAATTCCGCGCGGAAGGAGTCGGGGGATATAACTCGTATCTTACATTTCCAATAAATTACAAACCGTAATATCAATTTATGTTTAACAATACCGTTAGATATTTCGATGTTTCCGGCGTCTCCCGCTGCGTAATGGCCGCAGTGTATTGTTGCATTTTACTTCGATCATATACCAATGGTAACGAACTGGTAATTACACTAATTCATCGTAGGTATGTGGTAATTATATTACGAAATTTTTTATACATATTAACATACACTTTTACTAATGACGTTCAATTGTTTTCCAGTTATTTGTAGAGTTAGAAAGTATAATTGTTTTATGCTTTTTAGTTTAGAATAAAAGTGTTTTATTTTTTTACGTACCTAATTTTATTTATTAGAATCGTTTTGGTATAGCATCACAGAATAATTAAATATAGCTCATCGACCATGAAGCTCAAAAACCCAATCATGGTTAGAATAGTTTTACTTACAAATTTTATAGTTATAAAGACTACGAAAGATTAAAAATGTTAGTCATGGTTAAAAAAAAAACTTATTGAGACCATGGAGGTCGCCAGATACTGATCTAGACTAGGACTAGGAAAGAGGGCAGCTGCCACACTCCTGCACTCTTGTCGACTGGCGATGCCGTAATTGAGGTGATTATGGAAGACTTACCTTTACAAAGAAGCATAACAGTAAGGAGTAAGGCGAGGGCACCGTGTTGTAACGTCATCATGTGGCGTCTCACAAATTGACCCACTCTGTATGACTCCAACAGACGGATTCATCTCATGCCCAACTCTGCAACAAATAAAAACATTCTAGAATGTTCTACTTAGGTACCATAAATATTTTGAACCAAAGACATACAAAAGTTTCGTATGTATACATGTTTATGAAGCTAACTGTACCCTAAATGTGATTTCAATTACACCATTATAAAATGTATATAATAGCATTAATATATTGAGAAGAAATGTTCTAGTTTACAAAGAGAAATCAATCGGTTCATGTTAACATCTGTCGACTGGCATACGGGCAAACTTTAAATAAAACGTTTCGGGGGCGGCCCTTAATTGGGCTTTTTACAGACATTAATCAAGTGCCACGTCGAGGGAGAATTTTTATGTCGGTCCGGCGACCGGCGACCGGCGACCGGCCGTGACGGATGACGCGCGGCCGAGGGTCGAAAGGCGACTGCATCCATCAATGGATTGGATACCAGTAAAGGGTAAAATTAATCCAGCAAAGCTCTAACTTTATGCTCAATATTAATAAAAAGTAAGAAATCTCTATTCATCGTTCATCATTTTTTTTTTCAAAAGTCAAATGGTTCGGGATTTCAAAATGGTTTTGTTACAAAAATTTGTTTTTTTTTTGTTTTTGGAGGAAGTAGAAAACAAAAGAAGAAAGATTTGGATATAAACGACAAAATATGGCGCGGCTTCATAATTTCTAATCTTCGTGATTTAATAAAAAAAATTGATAGAATCAGAAAGACCATAGCCAAAATCAGCTTTTATTTTAATTGACATTTAAACGTGCAGAGAGCGTCCCTCTAGCCAGAAACAACGGGTCCTGCTGCGAGCCATTAGCGAAATGAGACACATTCAACAATTTCAGTAAATATACGCAACAGATGCTATCTTAAACGAAATTGTTAAATGAAAATGCTTCAAAAATCGATTTAAAACTATTTGTAATTAATGAAAAAATAGTTGGTACAACAATCTACACTGAGGACGTATTTAAGTAATCATTGAAAGACTTGAGGAGCAGCCAGAATATTGACGCTACATGAGTGGAGTAAGACCTAAGGCACGGTTAGTTAAAATCTATACTATTATAATAAAGCGTAAACGCACACTTCTTTGTTGCCTAAGATGTCAGTCAACAATTTCAAAAGATTTTTGAATAATCGTTTTTTTAATAAAAAGCCCTACAGTTACGTCACGCTTTAAGCTATATATTTTCATGCCAAAAACCTTTAAACTTATGGAGTAAATGTTTTGGATAAAATCCCTAATGTGGGAAAGAGACCATAAGTAGCTGCCAACATTAAGAAAACAAGAATGCCAAGGTTTGTCATATCATGTCAGATTGATATTTGCTATTGATAATTTTGACAAATGTAAACAATGAAATAAATTTTTCATAATTTCATGCGGATGAAGCCGCACGGGTACGGCTAGTAGATAAAAAAATAATGAAGAGATTTTCTTAAAGTAAACGTTTTATTCTTGGTTTAATTACCTTAATAATGATTATTCAATCAGTATCGTGTTATTAAAGCTTTGACGATTTCTATCCCAATTAATTTGTAGATAACGATCGCAATTCGAGTTTCGTGTTTATCAGATACTAAACGAGAAAGGGCATGTTTTTTTTACCATTGCATGCGTTGGACTTGTTCTTAGAAAGTATTTTTTAATTCTTGTAATTTTACTTTAGTAAATAGATGTTTGCACTGCATGAAGAGTATAATTTACCGTTAAAATTATTATCTTACTTCTTACTTCATACTTTTACTAATAATATAAATGCGAAAGTTTATATGGATACATGGATGGATGGATGTTAGGGTTTATAGTCTAAACAGCTGAAAGGATTTTGGTAAAATTTGGCACAGACGTAGAAGACAGTCTGGACTAAGACATAGGCTACTTTCTTTTTAATTTGACGCCGACGGAGTCGCAGGCGAAAACTAGTTAATTATAAAAACAATAGCTAAATTATTTTTTAACGTACATTATCTCTGTCATGGATTATTATCCATCGGTATTTGTATTTAAAGTACAATTAAATCTTAGCGAAAAAAATAATAAAACAAAAAAGAAACAAAACTCCTGTTTTGTTATTATAGACTCGTGGAATATGTACGAAGTTTCTAGAATTGAGTGATTTAGAAATGTTCCTAAATTTGATATATTCGTTATAAAAGCAAAGGTCTTATATCAAATGAAAAAAATGTTTAATATTGATATGAGACGTAAAAAACACCCCCAAGGCGCGTTCCTATAAATAATTGATGAATCCAAAACGACTTTCACTCCGGCTCTTGGAAAACTACAATAAATTATTGCCCAGAATATTTTTAACAGTCTAGACGTGCGCGGATCTTGTATTTTTACAACAGAAACATTTTTCTATTTTCACTCATCTTACAATGAAAAAAAAATAACATTTGACATACAGTATGGTATAGAGTGAACAGAAATAGAATTTTAATAACTCGTGATGTATTTATATGCGACCTTTCTCTATACGTTAGGTTATGTTCAATGAACTACCGCTGAGATATAATAACGTCGTAACTGTGAGTTTACACTCGTTAAGAAACAAATTTAACAACATCAACAACACCCTTTCACCGTGATTTTAGCTAAGCTGTTAATTTGCTATATCTTAAGACATTTTTATTCATTTATTTCGTTTGAATCTCAATTGTTTCATTTGAAACATCATCATCATCTCCCCTGCCTTATCCTACTCCCGTAGGGTCGGCGCACCGGGTTTTCGTCCTCCAAATAACTCTATCATCCGACATCTCAGTCATCACTCCCTTCTTGATCATGTCACCTTTCACGCAATCCATCCATTCTACTCTACCTTATTTAAAACATATTAAAAAAATCAATTAAAACTCGAGAATGTCATATTTTACCTTAGCTATGAAAACATTGTTACTGGGAATAAGAAACAAATAAAATCCTCTTTCACAGTTATACTTGAATCAATTAAACTTTCGTGAACAAATAATAAATGGCCTTGTTACGTGTTTCGACAGCGTAATAGGCACGGGTGTCGTTAGTCGAATGATTTAATGATCATTCCGTTCATTTGTTACTTAAAGTATCCGCTTCTTTTCGGGAACCAAAAAAAAATTCCCTCAAGTTTATTCTTTTTAAATCCGTATTCGGTTCTTGTAAAGCGACATCTATTGGTGAGCTTATGAAGTTGAGTTAAATTGATGTGTTTTTAACGAGAGACAGACCAGTCATGTTCACAATTAAACTTTAATGATTGTCGTAAAATTTCACGATCTTAAAGCCTTTGTATTACAAATACAAGTACGCTAAAAATATAATAGAGTAATTTCATAAGAGTTAAATTAAATCATACTTAATTTTGATTTTAATCATACTAACATTGTAGCGAATGTTTAGATGGATGGATGGATGAACGTTAGAAGGTATGTATATCCAAAACGGCTAAAAAGTTAAATTTTACACAGATATAGAACAGACTGGAAGAACACTTAGGCAATTTACTACATAACTTTTAATTTTCCCAATGTTTTTAATTTTAAACTTAATCTATAAAATTATTCTCAGTTAAAAAAATGCAGAACGTATAAAATTCACGTTCGATAAATGTTCACAATTGGGTTATTGTATTAATATGTGTATATTGTGGTGTAGGAAATAACATCCGTAAGTATAGCCCTAGATGTATAATCCGACTAAAGATTTGTAGAATTACAAATATTTAAGTACCATCACACATATATGTAAATACTGTTACAAATGAGTCATATGAAAGATATCAGGAACAGCCGCTTAACTTTTTTATAAACAAGCCTAACAGACGTGTTCCATCTGCCACATACATTACATCATATTATTATCGCATACGCATTAGATAACTGATAGGGGTCATTTCGGCGTGCATGGTAGTCAGACAGCTGTTTACCTAATTCACCCGGCTCCGGGCTCGCTCTGTTGACCGATGGATAATGTTGTGGCAAAATGAATGTTATTTTGTGATACAGCCCGTTTAGTTAGACCTAAATTACGCTACACCGCAACCCGCTTTACGGGTAAAATCTTTAATAAGCTATTTGAATTAGATGGATGGAGATAAACATCCATTATTACTTAACAAACTGGTGAACGGATCTCAATGAAATTTGGCATACATATATAGGGTAGTCTGGAAGAACACGTAGGCTACTTGGTTTTGTTTTTTTTTTATACCACGCGGACGGAGTCGCGGGCAAAAAGTAGTATTTTATAATTATCTCCATAAATCGATTTCCATTTCACATTTAATGGAAGGAAATGATCATTATTTGGAGACGAACTTGTAGATGTACAATGCATGTTAAAAATCTAGAATAATATGCATAGATGATGCTGTTCTTTTTGTTAGTTTATGACGAATGGAGTCAAAAATTAATAAAGCCACTTATAAATCTCAGAATGCTATTTTAATATTGTATTAATAATTAAAAAAGCATTTACCACCCACTAGTTAGATAACAAAGTATCGTAACAAAATAAATACAAAAAGTTTAATTGACAATCAATTGGTACTAAAAGCTTCCTTACAATTAGAATGCGGAAAGCTGTAAATTTTTAAAAGCTCTATAAAAGCTGTTCTACAACGTCCCTAATTACGGATCAAATTTTTACCTCGTAATTAAGCTATGATAAAACCGGAAGAGTTACATTCTCATTACAAACAACAAAACTGCGTAGCATTTAAAATGCTAAACTTAAGAGTCCCTGATGGTTAAAATATATCAGAATATTTGTAATACGTTTTGTAGTTATTTTACAAAAGTGCTGTAATATTAGCTATTTTATATAGTTAACTTATTTATTATAATAGTATCGCTCTTTTTTCTTTTAACATGTAAATGTAACTACAAACTGAAAACACTTAAATTAGACAATAGTTCCCTCCAACTTTCGAGGCAATGTAATCGAATTATCAGCTACCAGTTAAGTTCGTGTTAAACGGACACAGCTATCTATTTAATCGAAGTTGTTAAGCCGCGGTCACTCAGCGTGCGGTCG